GTTAGAACAAGGATTAGGCTAAATAAAATTTCTGTTAGGCTTAGCTTAATTGAGGGCTTTGTCGATGAAGATCTCAGGACGCGTTTCGAGAATGATAGTAATATCTCCAGTCTGATATTGTTATATATGAAAGTGTCTGTAATATATGTGACATTATTCAAATACTTATTGCTTCGTCGCATAACATTATGCACAAAAGTAAAATATTATTTAATGATATATACTAATGTCAGCAGCAGTATGCCATATTATTATTAAATGGCGCGTCTCTATGCATTACTGGGGAAATGCTATTCTGATGTACGCATTTTGTGTTATTCACACAAATGGTATACTTAGACTATAATATATGTATGTTGGATTATGCGTTATAGCTCGTTATCGTGCAGTATTATGCATATTCTGATGCCCTAAATCCTTTATTTGACATTTTATCGTTGCTAGTATGTCGCGAACACAAGTGGGCAATCTTTTCTGTTCTTGACACTTTTTTTCCGCTGTTATACAAGTAATTCTGTCGTAACCATTATGTCCTTCCATTCACTAATAGACGATGAACGAGACGTTTGTCGACTGGCAAGACGGGCTCGTAATTCTTCACGCCCATCGGTTTTCCATCAGCAATCCACCTGATTGTGCAATATTCCCTTTACACTGTAAAAGGAAGAGATCAGTGATCCTTGGGGGAATTGTTGCACATCTTCTCTTTATCGCCCTTTGTATCACCACGCAAATCATGTTAATGGAATGTGCTATGCGTTGCTGTTTCAGACTTTTGCCTCATGTGACTGTTTATTGCCATACTTAAGCTTTTGTATAATTTTTAATAACTTTTCCAGTTTTTGTTGTTAAACTATTTTTAACCAAGCTAGTATATTTTTCTTTATACAGTTATAATTGTAATACGAATAAGGTTATCTTGCGCATGACTTCCCCTAAGCCTGATTTCACAGTATGTGCTTATATATCTTGCATCACGGTCTTTTAGTACGAGGAAGAACCGGGCGAGCTGCTGTTGAATTCGGTGAACCAGGAAAGAAAACTATGCGGCATCTTGGCCAAATTGCCGTCTTCTCGAAATGTGCTGACTAAACAGTACCTGATAGGGTGAGTGCTGTAGTTACTCCTAGTACAACGCTGACCGAAAAGGCATTAAAGCGTAGCACATTTTTGGGGATTTGTTCGCTTGTCCACAGACCTGAGTTGAAGTCGTGGTTTTTCTTTTTTTATTTTAATTTACGGCTCGGGTGTACGCTACGCATTGAAACAGTTCTTAGAGTGAAAACAGTCGTCGAAGCAGACGCATCGCCAACGGGTGAAAAATACGACCCGCAGTGAGCGTGCCCCGGTATTAATTAGATATACCATTTCTAAGGGTCAGATATAATCTGGATTATTCTGCTGCTTGAGCTTGTTGGCCTTGAATGTTGATGACAAAACAGGCAACAGCGCAAGCATCATTTTGATGATTTGGTAAACCCCTAATAGACGTGCCCGGGTGATGTATCTGGTAATCTATCTTAAGAACTTATATTATGGTTTAATGGCAGAAATATATGCACCTCAACACCTCAATAAATGTGGTAATTGGAATCAGAATGCATGCTTTGCTTTTGCTGTCTGAGTCTCGTTTCCGGATCAGGTATGGTTGAGTATACGGCCATTAACGGTGTTGTTTATCGCAGCTTTGCGTTTGCTTTATTGATTTTGTCGAGTTTTAGCAAAGGTCGCGAAGACATAAGCTGGAGAGACGCTGTTCAATTGGACTGGGTGTCAGTTGAAGACGGTTCACATATATTGACAGTAGGCATCGGCCCGTTGATCTGCATTTTCAGCCCAGTCGCCGAAGATACAGCTCAGCACAACATCGCAGTCATGAAGGAAAGGGACCAGACGAACATGAAACGTCGCAAGCTCGTCCGCAAGTCATCCACCATTTCGCAGATGGTAAGTATCGAAGCAAGCATTCAACGGGATTGTTCGATGTGACGAGTGACTAACTGGTGTTCTGACTGTAGCCGCTAAAGAAGCTGATCAGATGGATATGCCTCCGAACAGTGCAGTTGGAGTCAGCTGACGGACTGCCGCCGTTGCCACGGACGTTGAGCTGGGTCAGACATGGCATAATGGTCGTATGCATTGATTCGGAGATGCGCGTCTACAGTCAATGGGACCTCACTGGCTCGAAGGAGGACATCAGTGACTCGTCGGCGCGCAAGCCAGCAATCTTGAACTCTGCTTCTCGCACCACCGCTTCTGCTGAGGGGGAAGATGAAAAGTCGACCTCTGGTGCCTTGTCTCAGAATGTGAAGGACATGCGTCGCATTACGTCTGTACCCATCCTACACGTTAGTCCGTCGGTGTCTGCACTCGACCTACTGAGGAAGGGGTTCAAAGATGCTGGCGGCAACGCACCTGGCGTCAAGAAAAAGAAGCCGTCATCGACGTCTGCTGCCAAGAAGCTCGACCTGAAGGAAATGTTTGGCAAGGAGATGGCCGAACAGTTCGGCGATTCAGTGCTCAACCTGATTACCAACCAGGGGCTGTTCGAGGCGACCCGGTCGGCGCTGCCATTGCTGCCTCAGTACCATCCGCGGCTGCTGATCGAGTTGTTGAAAGCGGGCAAATCTCGCCGCGCCAAGGCCATACTCATACATCTGCTGAATTCCATACGACCGTACAGCGCCGCCTCGCGAGCCGTCGGCCGACGACGCAGCTCTAGCGGTCAACAGGATGAATCGACTTCCAGGTATCGATGCTGTTCTTAATACAACTAAACAGATATTAAGATGGATGTACTGCGATAAGGAGTACATTGAAAAGATTTACCGGAAGTTGTATCTCCTGATCAGAGAGCACCTCTCCGCGTTTTCTGCTTTTCTTATCCATCTTGAGTCAGTGAATTTCTGCAGTTCATCCTGCCACCAATCTGAAGATTTTCCCACGCACCGTTGACCCACTTGGTACTAGTGTAATGGCTCCAGACTTCTGTTTGAATTTTTCGATTCATTTGTCTTCCGATCTTTTCTTGTTATTCCCAACTTGCACCTTTC